CATTACTGATCGTCTACCATTATTTTACAATAAGATCAAAGTTTCGATTTCAACCAGCTAAGCAACCGAACTCAAGTGCAAATGGACGACAGCACCTCGACGTTGTGTTCATTACTGCGCATTAAAAGCATGAATAACCTTCAATCGGCCTCAACTACCAAGACATTTTTAAAATGCGGTTATACATTTTGTCCTCCTAAATTATGCATTTTCGATTTCTTTTATTTTCTGATCTCACAAGACTAAAGTGGAAGTCATTTTATATGCGTTACCTTCTGTTAATAACACATGCTAGCTGTTTTCCATTTAACTTCATTGATAACTATCGGTGGAAAGAGTTTTTCTCAGTGGGGTTATGGACAGCACTGTGGAGAATAACTACAGAATTATTGGTAGAAGCAGGCCACAACTTGTACCTTTCATCGATTCCTTTGCTCCAAAATAGATTAGTGCAACGATACTCTTACAAACAACTATACTTAAGAAAGTATCAGAGCTCCCTGATGTGATGCAATATACTTTTGTTGTTCCTTATACTTATTATGAATGCTCCTCATAAATATTTGATGCAGCTCAAAGCAAACACAACTCACTACAGTCACGTGGTACAAACCACGACAATTCACTCAATAAAAGTGACATAAAACCTACACAAGTGCTTCCGAGTGATTAGGATCAAAGGCGAGAGCTTTCGCATAACAGAGGTCAGCTTCAAGAACATCATTTTCGAGCACCTAAAAAATATGACTAAGAAAAAAGCTACTAAAGATAAAGCAAAGTGATAAAGCACCTCATGGAACAGGCCGTATTCCGTTAGAACGTCAGGATGGTTAGGTGCAAGAGCTAGTGCATGTTCGATGATGGCCTTAGCCTAAAATGAAAGTATTAATTATTCTACAATTATCAGTACTTATCCAGTGATAACGTTCTATATACACGCGTTAAAGTAAAGTTCTCAAAAATTGTCTAATGCTCAAAAAATCACTTTTTTGGTCATGCTACTGAAGTTTAGAACGCTGAGAAATCAGTAACTCCTCCAAAAAGACCAGAGGGCAAACCTTTCGAACATTTCCATGACGTCTACTGTCCTTAGCCGCAGCAAGAGCTGCTAGGGCTTCCTGTTCACGAGTATGGTCAGAGAGTTGATTGTTAGTTGACCGAGAGACAAGAGAAGCCGGTGGGCTCCCCTTTAAAAATTTCAATAAAACGAATCGTTAAAATAGTACGAGTAGAACGAACCACCCATGTTTCCACAGGAAATATCTCAGGGAAGTGAGTAGGGCCATGTGTCGCAGAAAGAGATAGCAGGCTCGAGTCATTCCGAGTCTCGCATTGTAGTCTTAGGAGACATTTCGCGTAATAGCTTGTAAGAGAAAGGATCCATACAGCATGTTCAGCAACTATAGGAACGAGTAGCTGAAATTGGCTGATAAGTTTCTGCAGGTGTCTGAACTGACAACTTTTTTCTCAAGTTTTCCTTCCAGCTTAAGTAACTATCATTAAAGTAATGAGTTGCGGGTAAATGCGAAGTAAGTTAAGCAATTCAGTCAAAGGTTTACACGATAAACAGATTTCAAGACATATTTGTTGAAAAATTCTAGTTAAACTATTATTCTATCCTCAAGATTTTGAATTCAGGTTAAACATGGTGAACTGTACGAATCAACACTGATTCGCACCTAATAGTATTCAGAGATACGCCAACATCTTATCGTAGTAATCACTGACATCTTATGCGCTAGCGCATACTGTAGAAGACTATTTGGAATCGGCAGACGGACTGCAAACTATCCAAAAAGTGCAACTGTACAGAGCAGTTCGATGTAGAGAGTGCAGATACTTGATGGCATAGTCCAAAAAAGTCTTGCAAAAGCAAGATAATCTTAGTAAACTAAAACAAGTTTACATAATCGCAAACTTCAACGAGTCATGACGGCGCATAGCTTCTCTTTCCTCTTTCCCTACAACAAATTTTAGAAAATGATCAAAAAATGGTTAGAAGCTCGTCATTATTAGGAAATCATTATATATCCGGGATTTCATAGTGTATGAGGCAATAGGGAAAAAATAACAAGTGCTAGAATACCACTGTTCACTAGCACACTACAAGGAAGCATTAGAGAACAAAAAAATAGCGTTTGATACAGATTTTTGTACGAAGTTCTTGAGCATCAAACCGTTATAATATGCATTTTTTAAAAGAAGCAAAGCTTTCTAGACAAAATTGCTTTTTCAGAATAATATTTTTTCAGGCAAAAAAAAAATCGCGGAAATGACTGTGACCTTGGACGAACCTGAACGGCGGATGATACTAGAAGACATAATAGCACTGTTCTAATCGTCCCATTATTGGAACGAAGGATTGCTCCTCCAAGTTTCGAAGGTGTCGATACGGACATTGGAGAAACTGAAAATGACGAACCTACTCCGAGCCTCAGAGTTGCCATACGTGCAGAAAAAAACTTACATCTATAATCATGAGAATCTTTTCGCTAGTATATTTACATCCAAACACTTATTGGTTTCAGTCTCCAACCCAATCCTTCCCTTTGAGCGATAAATTACCGGCTTTTACGGAAAGCGCGAAGAGTTCTCGTTTAGTAATTGATGTAATCCGTAAATGTAAAACTATGTGTGAGGTTGTAATTGTAACAAGATAAAACGACGAGTTATAATCAGATCTATAAAAAGAAAAGGGAGCAAGCATCAAATAAAAATCATGAATAGGCCAAGCCTCCAAGAACGCCTGAATATTGAAATGCAAATCACAGCGAACCTCTGGGAGAGCATGATTCTCATCTTAGTAATTAGAAGATGGTGTCTGCATATTACGCACATGAACAAAACTTTCAAGTGCTTAACTTTCCAAGTCTTTGGAAGACAGCATACTATGCAGCTCATAGTCTATATCAATACCAGTCTATGTGAAAGGAGATGTGAAACCACCACTTTCACAGATGCATAGTATCTATTCCGCAACAGCAAGAGATTCACTCGTAAGTGCTCTGCAGGAACCCGTGGATTGAGCGCAGCATTTAAAGTGCTTAGCACTAATGGAAATAAGAACTTATCACTGCTATATGTATTAGGTCTAAAGTTTTCAATGTCACAGGATAAACATCCAACAACTCGCTTTTATTTCCAAAAAATCCATAACGTGACTCTTAGCTCAGTCTCTATAAATTAACATACAACCGAGCATTTGTGTATGAAACGGTGTTCAGAGGAGCATTAATTGGTACCCATGGGCCCAGCAAATTTCCAAGGTGCATTTCTCTTTCTTTGGCGCACTTCATTTTCATTCTACTTCCGAAGTCCCGCTTCTAAGCGTTCGCCGACCAACCAAGACACTCCAAACAATTAATTTTATAGCCTAACAAAGCTTTTGGTTTCACGTTAGCCATACTTCAAAAACATTTGTGGTCAAGCAGTTACTACAACGTCAAAACAGCTCCGATAACAAATTATTGTTAAGGAAGTGAACAATTCAGTAAAGCGGACTTACAAGCCAATGAGAGCTATGCAACCTTCGCATCAA